TAAGATATCAATCTCTTTATAATAAAAAATTAATTAAGGTGCTTTTTTTTAAAATCAACTTTAGTAGAGATCTTAATTTTATCCATGTTCGATAAAATATCTAATTTTTTTATGTGGTAAGAAATATGAACGAGTATTACATCATAAGGATGAAGATGAAGATTGATATAATTTTAAATTTTTTTATCAAGTATGATTGTACGAAGGTAGAGATGGGTAATATAATATTCACTCATATTCATATTTGTATCTTACATATATATTTTTATATTTTTATTAAATAATATAAATTATTATTTTAATTAATTAGAACTAATATATTTTTATTTTAAAAATATATATTAATATATATTTATAAAAAATTATATAAATGCAGACAATAAAAATAAAGAAAAACTAAAAAAATTATTTTTTTAAAAAATTATGAGTATGAAAATTACTCATACTTATTAAATACCTATAAAAATAAAAATAAAAACAAATTTAAAATGCTAATTGAATAAAAATACAAAAATAAATATAATATAAAATTTTGAAAAAAAAAAAAAATTCTACTAACCTCATGTCCTATATGTTGACGTCATAATGCTTAGGCATACGAATAGAATACTATATATAAAACAAAAAAAAAGAAAAAAAATGGAACAGAAAATCAGAGCCACAAATGTTTACTTGACCAAGATACTGTGTCTCCAACAAGATTAGTGTAGTTCGTGGGTTGTTTAGACTTTAGGGAACAAATCTACGGCGGTCTTTTTAAGGCTTGTTGGTTAGAAGTTTCAAATAATCCAAAGCCAACCAAATTTAGAGGTTCTTATCACTCACAAAATCGAGGAGTGGTGAAATAAAATAAAATAAAATATAATATAATGTAATTTTAATGGAAATGACTAATTTTTTATATTCCCTCGAAATTTTGTTTTGTCACATTTAAAATATTAAAAATCTGAACAAAAATTTGTAAAAATTCAACATAAAATTGACCTAATAATCTCATACATACATATATACATATATTAAAGGTCATTTTAAATTTAATTTTGTTTTAAAAAATATTATTTATTGAATAAATGTTGAAATGTCTTAGAATTGATAGTTTAATCTAAAATTGATATTTTTTCGTGAATAGTTTAATAAATCTATATCCATATGGTTAAGTTAAACATATCTTAAGTCTTGAGTTTTTTATAATTTTATTTTTAAATTATATATTTTTATTTATTATCAATTAATTTTACGTTAAATATATAACAGCGTTAAGATTTTGTTATGTTATCTTTTATCTTATATCTTTTTTTAGTATATCATATGGTGAGTTATTTTTATTTTTTACTTATACATGATAAATACTTGTTAAATAATGTTATCTTATATATGTTGTTTTGGAGATATTTTCACCTATTATCAATTATGTTTGAAATTTATTTCTTTTATATAATTTTCATGCTGTAAAAAAAAATTATCTCTTAGAATCAAAATGGTCCTATCATTTATGTTGGGATTTACTTACAAATTTCAAAAATATTTTTTTTAGAATGAAAAATTACGAAAATTGGAGGTCGTAATATGAAATTAAGAATTAAAATAGATACGTTTTATAATTGAATAATTTTGCAGGAAATATAACATTGGAAAAAAAAAAAGAGAAATATTTGGTTGGTATAAATGGGAGTAAACGTATTTTAATATGGGTTTGGAAGACCGGGAAAGGGGTTTTCAATGATATACGGCGTCTCTTTCTTGGTAGCTTCCTGATGGACCTTGACTTCGTTTCATTCTTCAACGAAGTTTACTTTCAATTTGATATCTAGTTATTACAAAAATATTTTTAAAATTTTAGGGATTAAATAATTCAATCTACCTATGACTGAAAAAGAAGAATTGATTTTGTATTAGATTTTTTTAATAAAAAAGTCATAATTTGAAGAAAAAAATTACAAACATTAAAATTTGAATATAAACTTATTAAATATTATATTTTAAAATAATTGTGTGAATCAAATTAAAATTTTAACTTATAATATTCAATAACGAATAATTTAATTTTAGGTTTGAATTCAAATTTTATTAGATGTGAACTTTGTACAACTATACGATGATTTGTTGGTTATTGATTTTACTTGTTTATTAATTTTTTTTTTTCATGATGTATATTGAATATTATTTTGTTATAATTTTAACTTTTACATATACATATAATTTTATCAAAGAAAAACTATTCCCTCTCTTCACATTAACCTTTTCGGATGTGTTTAGTGACAAGGAAAAGGTTTTAGGATCTTGAAATCTTAAGTTTAAGTTTTATTATATATAAATTTAATTGTTCAGTTAAATTATAATTTATTAATTGATTATTTGGTGATGTAATAATTTGATTATTTAGTTAATTATAAAATCTAATATTTGATAATGAGTGTAATTTTATAAAAATACTTCAAGTGCTTGAAATTATTGAAATTGTACAATGTAAATATTAAAAGGATTAGGATAATAATGTAATTATTATTGTAATAGTATTTGATAAATCACCGACTAATCCCACTTATAGAGTCTAAAAACTCTACAATGGATGGAATCATTTTTCATTAGAAAAAACTGAATTGCAGGAAAAAAGAACAAGAAATATCCAAGAAAAACTTTATTATAATTCCTCAACATTTTTTTCCAATATTAAAATCCATGAATTCTTGCATTGCTTTCTATGGATATCTGATGATCAGGTCTTTCCTTCTGGAATCTACTTCATTTTGCCATTAAAAGGTCAGTCAATGATTCATTGGTCTAAACATCAATTTTGGAGCTACGTACCTCAAGTGGAAACTTGCTGCTCTTTTCCTCTATATAGTGCCCTCCCCCCATGACAGAAACTTCAAACCAAGATTGATAAACAGCAGCAAAGTCCTCTGCTTCAGCTTCCTTCTATCTTCTGTGAACCCTGGAACGCAAAAATGGTGTTGGCTGAGACTTCAAAGCACAACACTCTTATTGCAAGAAAAGGATTGTCTCCTCTCTTTTTGTCATCCTCTAAAACACCCACTTCTTCTTTTTCATTTCCAAGCTCTCTCACAGTTTCTAAGTCAATGGTGGAAGAGAGCATTCAAAATGCAGAATCAATCATCACAAAATGGGATCGAAACTCTTCATCATTAACCAGAGTTATCCCTCTCTTTCACCGAAACCGAAAAGAGGCCAAAGAGTACCTCAAATGTGTTGGAGACCTGCGTCGATCCATGCATTTTCTTGTTTCTCAAAATTCAGCATCTGATAAGCTCATTCTTGCTCAAAAGCTCATGCAATTGGCCATGAAAAGGCTTGAAATGGAGTTTTATAAGATACTGTCAACGAACCGTGAGCAGCTTGATCCGGAATCGGTTTCAAGTCTGTCCTCTGATGGTTCAGGCAGTTTTTATGATGAGCATGAGCTTTTATCCGAAGATGAAGCTGAGCTGAAAAAGGCTGGTGAGTCAATCACTGAGGTGGAGAGAGTCTCAGCTTTGGCAATGTCAGATTTGAAGGCAATAGCTGAGTGTATGAGCAGTTCTGGTTATGGTAAAGAGTGTGTAAAGATATACAAATTGTTCAGAAAATCAATTGTTGATCAAGGGTTATATCTACTTGGAATTGAAAAGTTCAAGTCTTCTCAAATCAATAAAATGCATTGGGAAACACTAGAGCATACAATAAAGAACTGGCTGAATGCAGTGAAGATTGCTGTAAAAACACTCTTTACTGGAGAAAAAATTCTCTGTGATCATGTGTTTTCAGCATCTGAGACAGTCAGGAAGGCTTGCTTTGCTGAAATAACCACAGAAGGCAGCAAAAAATCTATTCAGGTTTCCTGAACTCATTGCCAAGAACAAGAAAGCAACAGAGAGAATTTTCCAGCTAATCAAACTCCACGAAGCAATCTCTGAACTCTTGCCAGAGATAGAAACAATATTCAATGCTGAATTGACTTCAGCTATTAAATTGCAGGCCCTTTTCATCACTGCACAAAGTTGGTGAGTCAGTTTGCACTTTACTGACCAACTTCGGATCATCAATCCAGAAGGACTCATCAAAAAGTCTGGTTGCTGGTGGAGGGATTCACCCACTTACTCGATCTGCAATGAGTACATTTCTTCACCTGCAGATTATGGTGAACAGCTCTTCTGATATTGTTGCTGACCATCCACTACCAGAAAAATTCAATCACTTCCAGAATCTTATTTGAGAATCCTACTTCCTTGACAGTCAAAAAACCAGGCAGTGTCAGTCATCTTGCTTGTGCTTATATTGGTGCTTTATGCAAGCTTGGGACAGGAAAGCTGAGCTATATATAAAGATGTCTCTCTGTCATATCTTTTCTAGGCAAACAACCTTCAGTTCATCATTGATCAGGTTCATAAAAGTAACCTGAAGTACCTCCTAGGTGAGCAGTGGTGTTCTAGACATACAAAGAAAATTAAACAATATGCTTTAGCTTGAATCAATGCCTGGAATAAGGTATTTCTCATCTCTCTCAAAGGACTTCGTCGGGTACTATCACCTGAGCAGCGGAAAAGACTGCTTTCAAGAGGTTAATGCTGCTTTTGAAGAAGCATATATGAAACAGAATTGTGGATTGTACCAGATGGGAAGTTGAGGGATGAACTGAAGGTGTCGATAGCTAGGAAACTTGGACCAGCATATAGAGAATTCTATGAAACATACTTGGTGACATTGAGTGAGGAGAAAAACTTGGAGGTGTTAGTAAGGATTGCGCCTGATGACTTGGGAAATTACTTGTCAGATCTTTTCCATGGAACTCCATTTTCATCGAGTTCTTTGTTATCATCGCCTCATTCACGAGGCTGCCTTCCCTGGTGAAAGATACAGTTCAAGGTTACATTACAAACTGTGATCCAATGGCTGGTATACAAAATCAGATAGAATCCCTTTGCTTCCTGTTCTAAATGTTTTTAAATGTTCCATAGTTAAAAGGAGTCAGCGACTTCTGTCTGCAAGTGTCTGTAGAGAAAACATAAAATAAATAATAACTTTGCATTTAATCTTCTGTTTTGCAAGCGTCCAAATGTTGAAACAACATTCTTTTATACATCCTGGTTGAATGGAAGGAAGAAAAATACGAGAAAAAGAAAAGAAAATGAGATACAAGTCTAAAGCCTGTACCTAGGATCATATAAACTAGATTCATGAAGAAGAAAATGAGAAGCTACCAAAATACCATCAGCTATGGTGGTCGACAGGTTGAGGAATGGGTTGCCAACCTGCACATATTTGAAGGACATGTTTCAAAGAATCTGAGGGTGCTTCCATTGTCCATGTTTGATAATATTCACTTGGATGGAATACACTTGTTTCACCAATGCCTGTTAGTAAGCATGGTTGTGCACCATCCAGAAACAAGTCTCCTTCAGATCTTATTAAGCCAGACCTTGCCTCTTCCCTGTCGGCTGCCTATATATCCAGCCGAAAGCAACATGCCAAACAAATCATGTTAATTGCCAGCAACTCTTCTCCTTTTTGAACTTGAAACAATACAAAAACAAAACCAAACATGCAAATCAAAGTGGAAAAGGGTTCACTTGAAAAGCAACTACATCTCAACACAGTTTTTATTCCACCCGTAAGATGCACTGAATGAGTCCTACTCCATATTTTGGTATAATTGCAGGCAAAAGGAAAATGAATCGCAGAGCTGTATGATGCCTAACATCTTTCCTAGAAGTGTAGCAGATGATTTAGCAGTCAACATTATAGATTGCCACTTCTGTTCATAATCGTAAAGAAAATTTTTTTTTCCCTTTTTATAATAGTTATATTAGCTGTTTGCTTTGTGGTACACATTTTGAACAGCTGATAGTGATCGAACAGACAGTGCTATATCAGAAAAAGTTTATTTAGGAAGCATCACCTCAACAATGAGATGGCTTCCAAGAAAAAAGATAGTTGCTACTTGCTATTCTGATCTCTGCTCTACAAGAGGCTTGAAGATTACATTGTAAGACGAACAATATTGGCTTGTCTCAACCAGCTGCACTCCCCATTGGTGACAAAAGCAAAAAGAAACATAGCAAAGTTATTTATCTAATCTCATAAGCTCACTAGAATGAAGTATTAACTATCACAATCCTTTTAGCTGATCTGATTGCTTATCCAAATTGGGGCATCCCATTAGGCATTTCACTCGAACAAGGCGCTTAACCTCCAAACAGGATCCTACACAACCATCAAACCTTACTAGTGACAATCCCTTAATTTAGAACTAATAATGCAGCTCTTGATAGTAGGAGCTAGGAGATCTGATATACATCTTCTTAAGATTTGGATAACTATATTGTTGTATGGACTGGCAGACAGCACAAAAGAAACCTCACATTCCTTCATAGCAACGAGAAAGTACTTCCCTGACAATTTTCAGATGACACAATATCGGGAAGTACATAGGCTATAAATTGTCTAGAAATTACAGTGTTAATCCTTATGATGGGAAAATAAATACCACCAAATTAGGATGGATCTAAAGGAGGGAAACATGAATAAAACGATAAACTAGTAGGGCAATTCATATGACTACTGAATAAACTTTAAACAGCTAAACTCTGATTCCTGATAATAGCTACAGATTGCAATGGTTGAAAACTGGAAATGGCCAACGATATTCCCATAGAACAATTGACAATGTAATAGCCATCCATCCTAATGGTTTTGTTTAGTAAAAGATGGTTACCTTCTCGGTATAAAATTCGAAAGTTTTTTTCTTCTTTCCAGCTTCATATATGTTGCATTGGGAGTATATCTGATTAACAACAAACATACACAATCGAAAAAAAAATATCTGTAGTTTATATATGGAAAATGAAAGTATGCATTGGTATGCTTAATTTTCTTAAGAAAGACACCTCTACCTGAGCTTCTACACTTGCACAAACAGCATAAACGTCCCAGTGTTTGGTGTAGTTGTTGTACAAATGTACCTTCCCAAATCGAAGACGAGGATGCCTTTGCCGAGTTCCATCAAAAAAGCAATGGTGAATAGTCACTCTAATGCACCTATCCCCAACATGAGAAGGGTCTGCTCCAATAAGCATTGTCTTGTCGTGTTGAGCAAAGTAACATCTAGGGACACCAGAATTGCAGAAACAAAATTAAAAACCATCAATACCCAGTTCACTGATTATTACTCTGTTCATTCAAAGACCATTTCAAAGAATCTCTTGTAGGAGCCAACATTGAAGAAATAAAATGACAAATAAAATCAACCAAAACTCAGAATTCAACATCAAACTCAATCTCATTCCAATGATTATTAGTTACTCAGTTCAGAATAAGATCATTTCAAAGGCTCCCTCAGGTAACAAAAATGCAGAAAAAAAAAAAAAACCCATTAAAACCTGGAATTCTTTTTTTTGTACAAAAAAGTTTAGGATGAGGGGAGGCTTCCGTAGAGCAGACCACAGGCCTCAAAGATGACTTACATTGGATTCACGGATCACTCACCAAGGGAGACTGCTGGTAGCGGGATTCAAATCTAAACCTTACAAGCGAAGTATTCGAACCTTACCCAATCAAATCAAAACTTCGAATTCAACCATTTACATTCAATCTGATTTCACAAAATTTACACAGCGTATTAATTCTAACTTCTTAGACCATTTCCAATATCCCTTGGGGGAGGGGGGAATTGCAGAAAACAAAAACAAACCCAGAATTTAATCTTCACATTCAATCCCATTTCTTCAATGATAATTATATAACTCAATTCAAATCAAACCGACACCATATCAATCATAATTACAAAAATAAAAAACCTTAAGCCAACAAAAAATTAAAAAAAAAAAAAACAAAATTTACCTAGAAACAGTGATGTCAGTGCTTCCTCGGGTAATATCAATCAACCCATCATCATAATCTTTAAAACTACACCTATCAATCCAAATATGCTTTGAATTGGGTTTGATTTGAATCCCATCAACATCATGTCCTCTTCCTCCTTCAAACTCCATATTACAAACAATCACATTTTCACATTCCTTTAACCTTAACCCTTTTCCTGTCAGCTTCACCCTTTCACCTCGTCCATCTATTGTCTTGTGAGAACCCACGTTTAAGTACGATGAAAGTTGGATTACACCCGACACTTTGAACACGATCCAACCTGGTCCAGGTCTCCGGCAGGCTTCTCGGAGAGAACCCGGACCGTCATCTACAAGAAATCATATGTGAAAGCAAAATTTGATGAAAATTAATGTAATTTGAGAAAAAAAATTAAAGAAAGTTTTAGGGTGAACGCACCGGCTAAAGTGGTGACGGGAAAGAGAGGACCGTGGAGACCGCCGATGGCAAACCGGCCGAAGCCCTCGGCTTGACCGGCTATTGCTCTTAGGGTACTGTCCACGTCGGCGTACGGAAGCGATCCCATCTTGTTCTGCCTCTTCTAGATTTGTTTAACGTTGTCGTTTTAAGAGTTTTGGTGTCCGAGGTAGTTTGTGAAGTCGTTACTTTCCGTTAAAAAAGGGCGTGTTTGTTGGAAATTCATTTTGACGGGGTTGCATAGGGCCGTGTTTGGATTATTTAAACAGGTAAAAAATGGACAAAATTAGGATTTAGATTTTTTATTTGTTTTAAAAATATATTAAGGTAGAAGCGTTCATAAATCAAACTTAGAAAGCTCAAGACGAGCTTAAAAATCTTGTCCAAACTTCAAAAATAAATATTTTAAATGAGCTCATGATAAAATAAAATTTTCGTTTTATTATCAAATCAAAATCGATAAAAATAGGAATATCTACTTTTTTTTAATTATCTGAACATAAAAAATGATATAAATATTAAAAAAATAGATAAAAATATTATTTTTTATAAAAATAAATTATGTAAAAAAATTTAAAATTACAACATAACATAATTATTTCAATTATTTTTATTTAAAAATCAACAAAATTAAAAATATAATAACAAAAATTTTAATAAAATTGAAGAAAAACAATGATAAAATTCAATATTTATAAATTATAAATGCTGCAACAAGGTAAAATAAATGCTTCCTTTAATATATCAAAATATCAAAGTCAAAACCAATAAAAGTAGCCAACATACACAAAAACCACAGGCTAAAACCACGCATTTGAGAATTCAATGTGCCATATCTAATCAATAGGTAAGCAGAAAAACAATATCCATAGGAGCATCTACATTTTTTTTCTCTCTAGTTATTCAAGATTTCTAATTATCAGCTGCAATCTTATTACAAAAAAAATAGTTGGTGCATTTGAGCTTAATTTAATAGATTTATATAATTATTTTTAAAAGATAATATTTAGTAGATTTATAATTTAAATTTTAACACTTGCAATATTTTATCCTATCCTCAAGATACAACCTCTTTCGCACTAATAAAAAAAAAAAAGAAAGGATAATCAATATTAAAATTTGAATTTTAAATTTACTAGATATTATCTCTTAAGGGTATATTTAATAATTTGTATATTCATGTCATGTAAAATACTAATAATTTATGTATTTATATCGTTTTTTATATAAAAATTACGTGTCATAATTTATGTCGATATGAAAATATAAAATATATATTTTTTGTTTATCAAACCGTGTCACTTTCATATATTTTTTCATATCATTTCTGTGTTATATTATTATAAAATATTTTAAATTATCAAAACTATTTAAAGATAACTGCATAAACTAATTAATCTCAACTTGAGTTCAAAATTGTAGTTTTTGGTTGAACACATAATTTTATGCAAAAATAGTAGTACTACTATTTACTTGTAATTTCATTTTTTTTCTTTGTTTAATATCAAATTTAAGGTTCCATTTAAGTCACTATTTATATACCTATTATCTCATATCTATCAAAGATGTCTACCAACTTTTTTGTTAAACTTTTTCTATTTATAAAAAATTATTTTATAAAGAAAAATCCAGCAATTAATATTTCTTAGTTAATCTAATCATTGAATTGAAAAAAAAAATTATCTTTCAAGTTTAATTCAACAAGGGCCCTTAAAATGTGATATTTACAAATGCTTGGATTCCTATTTCATTTTTCCCTTGGATTAACCTTATGTTAGGTTAATGTTCATTATTTTTTAAGTATATTAGTATTTTCTTTCTAATTAATCTTTCATGTTTCAAATTATTAGATTATAATAAGAGTTTGACCTAATTTAATTTATTAACATATAATATTGGGTCGATGTGAAAGAGTGTATTTTTAAAATCGTTTAATGAAAAAAATTAATTAAATAAAAAAAACTTAAACTCATGATTGTATTATTCAAAAAAATATTTATCAAATCCAATATTAAAAGGAAAGTTGCTCAATTAAAGCCAATATTTATTCTTAATAATATAATTGATTATAGCTATTTATTATGGAGTTGTAATGATATTTCATTCACATGTAATTACATGACCATAATATTTTAATGAATTAACATATAAAATTGGGTCGATGTGAAAGAGTGTATTTTTAAAATCATTTAATGAAAAAAATTAATTAAATAAAAAAATTTAAACTCATGATTGTATTATTCAAAAAAATATTTATCAAATCCAATATTAAAAGGAAAGTTGCTCAATTAAGGCCAATATTTATTCTTAATAATATAATTGATTATAGCTATTTATTATGGAGTTGTAATGATATTTCATTCACATGTAATTACATGACCATAATATTTTAATGATTTTTGTAAGACTTAATATAAATGATTTGAAACATGAAACAGTTGTAGGGTATTTATTGTCTCCAAACTTAGGTTATTTTAAAGAAACAGATTTTAGAAAAAATCAAATAATAAAAAATATTTTTCATTTACTTATCTAAATAATAAAAAATTTTACTCTTAAGAAAATAAGGCAAATTTTACACAAATTTTCTATTCCCTTTTTCTTTTTCTTTCCTTCCAAACACCCATTTTCCAGTTGCCCTGTCCTTTGTCCGTATGCTTCGGTCTTAATGCAAGTGTCCTACTGTACTAAAACGTACTAAATGCTAATGCCATTTCCGCGCTAGAAGAGCAAAATTCTATCTTCCTCGCCTAGATAGATAAAAGAGCAATCTATTATATCCTCGATTCATATATTTATATAATATAAAATATTAATAATTTATGTATCTGTATTTTACATAAAAATTTCATTTTACAATTCATATTACACATAAAACATGAAATATAATTTTTATTCTTGTTAAACCCATAAATGATTTTTGTTAAATCTTTGTGTATCTCTTTTATATTGTGTCGCTTGATGTAAATAGAAAAAAATTGAAAATTAAGTATAAATAGAGGCAATGTTTCATGTATCAGAGTCAAATATTATTGTACAAGCTCAAAAAAAGAAAAAAAAAATCACAGCACTTAATTCTTTCTCTTTGTCAATGGAGCTCTTCATGACAATATGTCTATTACTTCTTTACTGCATCATGTTCTTCATTTGTACGTTGGTTTTACAAATGAGAAATCAATGCTGCTATATTTTTGCCTATGGGTGTTGTAAGGCTCCTGATGACAGGAAACTTGACACTGAAACCTGTGGGAAACTCATATTGAGGAACAAAAATCTTGGTATGGAAGAGTACAGGTTTCTGCTGCAAGCTATGATAAATGCAGGCACTGGCGAAGAAGCTTATGGCCCAAGAAATGTCATTGCTGGCACAGAAGAATCTGCCAACCTTTCTGATGCACTTTCAGAGATCGATGATGTTGTCTTCGGCACTCTTGGCAGGCTCTTTGCTAAAACAGGAGTTTGACCATCAGACATTGATGTGCTTGTTGTCACTGTCTCAATGATCTCTTCAGCACCGTCTTTACCGGCTCGACTGATCAAACGTAACAAGATGAGGGAAGACATTAAGGTCTTCAACCTGTCTGGAATGGGTTGTTGTGCAAGTGTTATGGCTGTTGATCTTGTCCAGCATCTGTTCAAGACATACAAGAATGCATTTGCAGTTATTGTGAGTTCAGAATCATTGAGTCCAAATTGGTATTGTGGCAAACAGAGATCCATGATGCTCCCCAATATCCTGTTCCGGTTGGGAGGGTGCTCCTTACTCTTGACAAACAAAAGATCTTTAAGGCATCAAGCCATGTTGAAGCTGAAACATTCGGTTCGAATCCATGCCGGCTCAAGTGATGAAACATATGGAAGCTGCACTAGAATTGAAGATGCACAAGGGTACTGTGGTTTCTTCCTCACAGAAAGCTTGCCAAAGGCTGCTGCTAAAGCTGTAACCATGAATCTCCGAGTTTTAGTATCGAAATGTTAACTCTAAGGTGTTGGGCTAAAAGCCTCCAATCCAATCACGCTAACAGAAGCAAAATCAAACAATAAATCAAACGCAACAATTTAACGTAATTCGATTTAATCAGCTTACGTCCACGGATGAGAAACAAGATCCACTAATTATAGAGAATTATAAACATACATTAAATCATCAACCTCACTCAACAATTAATATTCATAAGACACTCTCAATCTCCTCTAGTCTTATGGAGTATTCTCAACCCAAACAAATACAAATCCAAACCTTTGTGCACCCTTTCAACATAACCAAACACATACCCATATGCTCCCATACATCATATTTATGTGGACCCTCTCAGTCTCCTTTAGTCCACTCACAAACAAACATATACACCCATAAGATGTAGAGCCCTAATACTCCTATGGGGTGTCTATCCCATAAAACCTTACAACTCTCTTACATTTTTTTCTCATCCCTAATCTTGTAAAAACTTCACCTATTTATAACAATACAAACTTGCTCATTAAGAATCCTTCTCCTTTTAGAATTCTTCTCTTGTACGTTAAACTTGCTTATTAAGAATCTTTTTTCTTTTAGAATTCTTCTCTTGCAAGTCAAACTTACCTATTAAGAATTTTTTTTCTCTTAGAATTTTTTTTTTGTAAGTCTTCTTGTCTATCAAGCAATATCTGACAAATTTCAAATAAATCTTTTATAGTATTTGAGTTATTATTCCCAATAATCTCTACCTTGACTCAAATTCCATCAATCATTTGTCTTCATGCTAGATATGCTTAGCTCAACCTACAATGAAAGTCTCACACTCATCTTTTTTTGTGTGTCTTCACGCTTCATACAAACCAATCCTCAATCTTCAAAATTTAAACTCGAACTCTTCTCTTGAATCGAGCTCTTTTGGACTTGCTTCTTCCTATGTCTCAAACCATGCACTTCCCACATCTTAAACCTTTAGCTCTTCCACGTCTCGAACCTTCGACTTTTTCCACATCTTGAATCTTCAACTCTTCTCATGTTTCGAACCTTCAGCTCTGATACTATTTGTAGGGAACACCACAGCTCTGATATCATTTGTTGGGCTAAAAGCTTCCAATCCAATCATACCAGCGGAAGCAAAATCAAATAATAAATCAAACACGCAAGAGACAATAATTTAACGTGGTTCGGTCCAACTAACCTACATCCACGGATGAGAAACAAGATCCACTAATTGTAGAGAATTATAAACATACATCAAATCATCAACCTCACTCAACAATCAATACTCATAAGACACTTTCAATTTACTCTAGTTCTATGGAGTATTCTCAACCCAAACAAACACAAACTCAAACCTTGGTGCACCCTTTCAACATAACCAAACACATACTCATATGCTCCCATACATCATACTTATGTGGACTCTCTTAGTCTCTTCTAGTCCATTCACAAACAAACATACACACTCATAAGATGTAGAGCCCCAATACTCCTATGGGGTGTCTATCCCATAAAACCTTACAACTCTCTTACATCTTTTTTTCATCCCTAACCTTGTAGAGACTTCACTTATTTATAATCATACAAACTTGCCCATTAAGAATCCCTTTCTTCTTAGAATTCTTTTTCTGTAAGTTAAACTTGCCTATTAAGAATCCTTTTCCTTTTAGAATTCTTCTCTTGCAAGTCAAACTTACCTATTAAGAATTCTCTTTCTCTTAGAATTTTTCTTTTGCAAGTCTTTTTGTCTATCAAGTAATATCTGACAAATCTCAAATAAATCTCTTATGGTATTTGAGTCATTGTTAAGGGAACTTATTCGCTATGCAATGATATCACTTCGGAGAAGTAATAGCAAAACATCGTCTCCTGAAGCAGCAGCAGCAGCAAGTTTAAATCTGAAATCTGGTGTTGAGCACTTTTGCATTCATCCTGGTGGAAGGGCAATAATTGATGCAATGGGCAGAAGCTTAGGGCTGAACGAACATGATCTTGAGCCAACTCGAATCGCATTTCACCGATTTGGAAACACTTCAGCTGCTGGACTCTGGTATGTCTTAAGTTACATGGAAGCTAAAGAGGCTGAAGACAGGTGACAGAATTTTAATGATCAGTCTTGGAGCAGGTTTCAAGTGTAACAACTGTGTATGGGAAGTAATGAGGGACTCGGAAGATGTCAATGTGTGGGAAGACTGCATAGATCGCTATCCTGTAAAATTGACAGCCAATACTTCTTTCCTGGAGAAATACAGTTGGGTGAATGAGTCCAGGCATGAGCAATAGGTGTGACAGCAAACCAGGATTCTTGGTTTGGAGGTTCGAACAGCTCAGTTAGCTATGTGGACCATTCATCACTTGCCAATTGAGGCCCTACTTAAACTATTGTGTGATAAACTTTCATGGGATCAATTCATCATGTAATATTTACACACAACAGTTTACCAATATGGAAGGAAAAACTGGTCCCTGCTAATGAAACCAGCATATCTGGGAAATTTGATATTCTCCAAGAAGAGTATGTTCACTATTTTTCAAATGATTGATTCTACATTCTTTTGTTTTGAAAATATTAATTGAAATAACAGCACTACAGCAGAACTACATGTGAGATATAATTGTTAAAATTAAGTGTGAGAAGTTTTTTTTGTCTTTTTTTTATAGAAAAAGTTTAGGGTGAGAGGAGACTTCACCGTTTCGAGGTCAGGGTAGAGCGCAGGCCTCAGAGAACTTATATTGGATTTACATATCACCCACCAGAAAAGAATATTGACTGCGAAATTCGAACCTTACCAACTCAACCAATTTCGTTTTGGCAATTTACTTGTTATTTTAAAAGGGCAAAACATCACATATATCTACTTAAGAAGGACAGAAGGGTTTCAGGGGCTATGTCAGTCAGCTGCAGTACCATCTTTTGTCCTTTATCTCCAGGATTTTAAACTTTCCATTCAAACTTAAAACCATTACTTAAATTTGCACATTCCTCTCCTTTAGCAGAAACTGTAAACCTTGCTATTCTCACTCTTTTGTTCCCAGGGATGCTGAAAAACTCACGAGGAATCCGCCTCCAGCACTAACATACCTTTGATGTTCATGTAAAATATGTCTGTTAGACTTGTTAAACTTCACAAAATTTTCAATCAGGATACAGTAAAAGTGTGAGTATTTAAAAATCAGGATTCTCCTTAGCATTTTGGATACAGTTTAAGTTAATAATGTTATGTTTCTCAGTTGAACATGACTGGGGAAGCAAAATTTAGTTAATTTTTCCTTGTGTTCAAGGAAAGTTAACAAAAATTGAACCCAGAACTTACCTCAATTTGTTCATGTAATCACTCTTAAGAAGTAGCCTCTAGCAAGTCTGGAATTCTAATCCCATCACTTAAGACCCATTTTCCTATTCCAGGGTCGACCTTTTTTTACCAAAAAAGTTGGATAAAAATTTGCAATATTATCAGAGTTCTAGTGGAAAAATACTGTATCAGGTTTTTGGAAGCCTCAAAAACACCAAGCTGGTAAAATAGGGATTGAGAAGAAAGAACTGGTTTTCTTCCAAAACTATGGGCATATGAAGGTAGCTTGTCAATGTGACAGAGTGGTATACTTTGCCTAACCCTGCAACTTGATTACCTCCAGCTTCCATAGGACCACAGCAGTACCAAAAATGAAAGAAGTTTAAAACTTTCAACCACTCATTCATTAATATTTCATTAAAGGCACCAGACTCTATGACTTCACAGTTACATGGTTTCTTTTCTTTTTGTGTTGTTAACCTTTTCGGAGTATTGATGGAAAGAGGGCTGCAACGGGCATGCAGTGTTTAAACACAATGATGGTCAATGATATGAACTAATCAGCTATTAATCTCTTGAATCCAATATCTTTCAACTTTTTAGAGTAGTGAGAGTTAAAGCTGTTGTAATTGCTCTTAAATGCGACCCTTTTTTTAATAAATTTACAGCTAATCACAACAGGAAATTTTACTAGCCAAGAAGGATAATCATTGTTTATTCATGTGACAAAAACATGGTTCTGTTTCCATTTAGTTTACCAGCAAAAAAGTATTCATATCTTCAGAATTATAGCACTCTTGAGTAATTTGTGAAGCTTCTAATCTCCCCTTCCATCTAACTTCTTTGAAACGACAGATAAGCAAAGTTTTTCATTTGTCATTTTCATTTCTTTTGCTTCCAATCTTGTAGAAATGTGACTGAAGCAGAAACCATGGTGTGCAAAAGGTCAATGACACTATCAAAAACACCGGAAACACAAGACATGAAATTTAAAAAGATTGAATACATTGTCTACTAAAATATATGAGCCAGGCATCGCGAAAATATCAAATTTCACCAGTCTGAGCTGCCTGATATGTAGCATCTTATGTTCAACTAGACTTCGAACCTGAGACCTGTGAGATATCAGCTATTTATGAGTACTTATGTATAAGAACATGTGATAGCATCTATTAAATCTCTTTTTCTTTATGTCACTTAATTTCCGCCTTATCTTTGGCTTCTATTTTCCTTCTTTCTTCTCCTTTTTCTTACAACTGCTAGTTAATTGTATGCAAAATTTATGTGCATGACTTTTCTCTAGCAAGCCATGTGATTGACCCAATGTCAGGTAAGAAAAATGAATAAAGCTAATAATTTTGAAGTAATGGATGTTTAACAACTAATACTTTTTGCTGTCATAGTCAAGTCATTTTGATCTTGAACATGGCTCTTGGTACCATCTCATCAGATAGAGCAAACGACCGTTTGCCTAATTTATGAAAGCAAAATAGAATTGGCCATTGGCTTTCATGGATGAATTTGAAAGGAAAATTATGTTACTGCTGATATTTAATGTTTAATCTTCCCATTCTAGAAAAACATGGAGAGAAATGGATGCTCATCAAGTCTTTCATGTACCAGTCAAATCGAATTCTGCCCTACAAGCAAGTTGCAGAAGTTGCAGCTGTAACCAAGAGATAGGGGTTGTTGAGAATGTTATTGCTTTTAAATGTTGAAATAACATTTTCTTCAATAAAATCTTCAAGTTATATAATGCTATGATCTGGTTCGAGGGTGTTATTGGGTGGAAAAAGTAGGAAAAGGGTACTATAAATAAGGCATGTTACCATGACTTCCACAGGCAGAGCTCCCTGAAGATTTTCCTCACTTTCTTCTAAATCACTCAATGGAGCTCTTCATAACAATATGTCTTTTAATTGTTTTCTGCGTAATCTCATACTTCTACCAGAGGTTTTTTCAAATGAGAAACCAATGCTGTTATATGTTAGCGTATGAGTGTTACAAGGCGACTGACGACAGAAAGCTTGATACTGAAGCTTGTGTAAGAGTTGTCATGAGGAACAAGAATCTTGGTCTAGACCAATACAGGTTTCTCTTACAGACCATGGTGAATTCAGGTCTTGGTGAAGAAACTTATGGCCCAAGAAATGTCCTTGCTGGCAGAGAAGAAACTCCCACTCTGGAGGATGCTCAGGCAGAGATGGATGAGATTATGTTTGACACACTTGACAAGCTTTTTGCCAAGTCTGGAGTTTCTCCATCCGAGATAGATATACTCATTGTCGATGTGTCACTGTTTGCTCCAGCACCTTCCCTGACAGCTCGGATTATAAACCGATACAAGATGAGGGATGACATTAAAGCCTTCAGCCTCTCCGGAATGGGATGTAGTGCAAGCATGGTAGCTGTTGACCTGGTGCAGCACTTGTTCAAGACATACAAGAATGCATTTGCAATTGTTGTAAGCACAGAAACAATAGGTCCACATTGGTATTGTGGCAAAGAAAAATCCATGATGCTGTCAAACTGCCTGTTTCGATCCGGAGGGTGTTCAGTGCTCTTGACAAACAAAAGATCATTGAAGCATCAAGCTCTGATGAAATTAAGCCATTCAGTACGAACCAATATTAGCTCAAATGATGAAGCATACGGATGCTGCATACAAATTGAAGATGAGCAAGGATATGAGGGTTTTCTTCTCACAAGAAGCCTAACAAAAGCTGCTGCTAAAGCTTTGACAATGAATCTCAAAGTTTTAGTACCCAAAATCTTACCAATAAGAGAACTACTCCGGTTTGCTATAGTATCTTTGAGTAAACGTAAGAGCAAAAGCTCAACACCTGAATCAGCAAGAGCAGGTTTGAATCTGAAGACTGGTATTGAGCATTTCTGTATTCACCCTGGTGGAAGGGCAGTTATTGATGGTCTTGGAAAGAGTTTAGGGCTCAGTGAATATGACCTTGAGCCAGCCAGAATGGCGCTTCACCGCTTTGGAAATACATCAGCTGGTGGCCTGTGGTATGTTCTAGGTTACATGGAAGCCCTGAAGAGGCTGAAGAAGAGTGACAGGATTCTGATGATCAGCCTTGGAGCTGGTTTCATGTGCAACAACTGTGTTTGGGAGGTGATGAAGGATTTGGTAGATGCTAATGTATGGGAAGACTCATTAGATCGTTATCCCATCTCCAGAAATAACCTGGAGAACCCTTTTGCTGAGAAGTATAGCTGGATCAATGATGAGTGTCTAAACTTTGTCAGGGTGAACTAGAATTATCGGCCTTTTCTGCATTTTCTGATTTTTAGATGTTTTAAACTTCCCCCCATTTGTTGCATCAGGTTTTGTTCTTCATGAAGTTGCCATTTTTAAAAACCAAAACAAGCGTGTGAAAGAGGTTGGTGCTCATTTCACATTGTCTACATTTTTGGTATAATAAAGTTTCTGTATTCATTTCATCAAGCAGTCTGTTGTTTCTTGCATGTATTCTAGAAAAAAAAAAAAAAGTTTAAAAATGAAAGTTCTACTACAAACACATACCCTCTAATGAGCTCTTCCAATCGTATCTAATCTGTATTATTCATATTTGTTATACATTGAGATTATTGTGATTTTATATTTAAATTAAATTTTCATGAACAATTGATTTTAGATTAGATATTCAATCTAATATCAAAACTCGGATTCTATTTTATTGTTCTTACATGTAATTTTTTTTTCAAGGAAATGGCCGGAAAATCTTTCCTCCTCCAGCTTTCAGACCATCCATCCACTAGAACAGAAATCATTTATCATGACAGCACTTCCTCTAGTGCACAATAAATCCACAACATTAAAGTTAATCGATTCATATAAATATTAATACTTATATATTTATGTTGTTTGTATATAAAATTATATGTTATAATTCGTATTAAAATAAAAATATAAAATATATTTTTTAATTTTATTAAATATATATAATTTTTATTAAAATTTTAAAGTAATATTTAAATAATATTTGAAATCAAATTCAAATTTAAAACATTTTATTTGAAAGCTTCATTAATGTGAAGTCAAGCTCACAAGTTTAGCAGGTCACCCTACCGATTATTTAATAATTAAAAGAAAGTATATAATTGCAGCCCGAAGGGATGATTAATGAATTAGGTAAGAGTGGGCTAAATCCTTATGGCCGCTAAGCTATCATTCTTAGTATTGGCACGAAGAATAAGACACATACCCAAAACCACAAAATAAAATTTAAAAATGATAACGAATTTGGAAAGAATACGACTCAATTTTTTAGATAATAAATAAAATTTTAAATTTTTAAAATTTGAATAAAATTTGAATTGAGGTTTTATGCAATTTTATTCAAATTGAATTTTATTGATTCAATTTAGTTTATTAATTTTTAATTTTTAAATTTTATTTGTATATATTATTTTAACATAATTTTTAATATTTTAAAATAAATTTAAATATAAAATAATTATTTTTATTTTATAAAAAATTAAAATATATACAAAAGTTAATAGAAATATATAATTAGATTTACTTCATCTTTTAAATTTAATACTTTTCAATTTAAAATTTGATTTAAATTTAATATATATTTAATATTTAATATTTAAATTTAATTCAAATTAAATAAAATAGTTTAATCTAATTTGAATCGAATATTATAATTTTAAATTGATTTTTAATTTTTTTGATTTTTTTTCACCCCCTAATAAGAGGAAAGGAATTACTAGTTTTACTTTTCTTTTGTTACAACAAGTTTCCGATGTAATATAGAAGAAAAAATTATAAATATTAAAATTTAAAAGTATTAAATATTATTTTTTAAAATAATTATATAAATTAATTAAATTAAAATATTTTTAAAATAAAAATTATATTAAATAGATGAATCCATCTCCATCTCCATCTCAATAATGTTCCTTTCATTTTGGCAAGTTTTGACTTTGTCATGATAGTGAGTGAGAGAGAGAAGGTGATCAAAGGAAAAGCCAAAAATTTTTAATGTCTTTGCCTAATTGGAGTATTGGAAAAGCAAGGCCATAAATATTCAAACTTCATAAACTTCAATGCTTGTCTCTAGTTGTTCACCGTATTAAATTGGATTGAATTGAATTTTATTTAAATTATTAAAAATTTATTTAATTTAATGTTAGTATATTAAAATTATTTTTATTTTAATATTTAAATATATTTAAAATTTAAAATTTAAAATTAAATAAAATTAGTTAATTTATTTGATTAAGCACATATAAAAATTTTTATTTAACAAAACTTATGTTATTTTGGGAATACAAAACAAAAGATATCTTTCTATTTTATTTAAGTTATGTAATGTATCTTTCACATTAATATGACCCATTTAAAATTTCTTACAAAGATGGAATCAAATAAATATAAAAAAAAAGAAATCAAAATCCATTAATAGAACAATATTTTGTTTCAATCAAACTTTTAAAAGTTATGTTTGTTTTTATAATAAATTTATTAATTTTAAATATAATGTGATAATAAGATAAAACATATATAAATGATAATTTAAAATTTGAATAAAAATATTATATGCATTTAATAAAAGTAAAAAATATATTTTATATTTAAAATATTTTCATAAATTATATTATTAATAGCTTTTATATTTTATACATAAAAATATAAAAACTAAATGTAATCCATATTTAAAATAACAAAAAATGTTAACAAATCTAATAATCTAAAATATAGTAATGGGCCTAGTGACTAAAAAAGTTTTACGAAGACATAAAAATTTTAATTTTGACTCAATTTTTTTTCGTTACACCTTCCTCTAAACGAAATATATATATATATATATATATATATATAATATAGTGATAAGATATGAATAAAAAAAATAAAAAAAATAAAATTTGAAATTTTAATAATAATTATATATTAATTTAATAAAATTAAATTTTATTTTTATATTTTTATATAAAGATAAATTATAATATATAATGTTTTTATAAAATATAATATAAATACTTAAATTTTAATATTTTGTACTATTTAAGATGCATGAGCAAAGTCTCCGGTCAGTAAGCGCTAATTGCTTACAAGAAAAGCAATTCGGACCAATCCGCTGCTAAGTATTTTTTTCTCTATTAAGAAAAGAAAAAACAAAACAATTTCCAAGCACCTTCCTCCGTCAACCTCTGTATTTCTCAAAGCAATTTCCAAACACCTTCCTATGTCAACCTCTGTCGTTCTCTGTTTTTATTCTTTTCTCCCAACCACAATCTCCTTTCTCTTGTCCTTTTTCTCTTACTGTTTTATAATATAATACTCTCCCCATCTTCCTTCTCTGCTTTGCTTCTGTCTCTTTTTCAACCATGGCCTCGTCTTCAATACCACAAGGTAACACTGTTGACTCTCGTTTGACCCATCTTTCAACCTTCATCATCATTTCTCTTAATTTTGTTTTTCACTTTTTTTTTTTGTCATAAAGGTTGTTCCTTTAAGTTAAAAGTTCACTTTTTGATTCTGGGTATTGATTCTTTCTTCAAAATATTTAATGGGTTCTTCTTAAACTTGGAAATCAGCTTAATTCAGCTGAAAATAATTATTTTTTTTATTGTTTTTTAATTGAAATTTAGCTTAATTTTGTTAGAAATAACGACTTAAATCTCATAAGAGATTTGTTTAAAATTTATTAGATATTGTTTGATGGTTAGAAAACTTGCAAAAAAAAAATTTAAAAAAAAAAAATTTAAAAAAAAAAAATTTTTAATAGATAAATTTGACTTGTAAAAAAAGAATTCTAAAAAGAAAATGATTCATAATAGGTAAATTTGATTTATAATAGAAAAATTTTAAGAGGAAAGAGATTTTTAATGGACAAGATTGTATGGTTATAAATATGTGAAGTCTCTGTAAGGATTAAATATGAAAAAAAAATGTAAGAGAGTTAGTAAGATTTTGTGAGATAGACAACTCATAGGAGTATCAGGGCTTTACCTTTTATGAGTGTGCATGTTTGTTTGTGAGTGGACTAGAGGAGACTAAGAGGATTTACATAGGTATGATGTATATGAGCATATGGTTATGTGTTTAGTTATGTTGAAAGAGTGCACTGCATGTTTGTTTGTGAGTGGACTAGAGGAGACTGAAAGGGTCCACATAGGTATGATATATGGGAGCATATGAGTATGTGTTTGGTTATATTGAAAGAGTGCATAAAGGTTTGGGTTTGTGTTTATTTGGGTTGAGAATACTTCATAGGACTAGAGGAAATTGAGAGTGTCTTATGAGTATTGATTGTTGAGTGAAGTTGATGATTTGATGTAAGTTTGTAATTCTCTACAACTAGTAGATCTTGTTTCTTATCCATAGATGTTGGTCAGTTGGACTGAATCACGTTAAATTGCTGTCTCTTGTGTGTTTGATTTATTATTTGATTTCGTTTCCGTTAATGTGATTGGATTGGAGGCTTTTAACCCAACAAATTTTACTCTCTTAAAGAATGTTGCGGAACCTAGATAATTTAGTGCTAGCTATCGAGTTTATCCATTGGAGTTTAACTAAATAGAAAAAAAAAAGAAAAGATGGGACTTTGATAGGAAGTTGTTTTGTGTGTGTGCGTGTGTGTGTAATTATCTGGTAGTTTTAGTTTGAAATTAAGAATTAAGGTGAAGCAATGGAAGGTGGCATCATTTTGTGATTGATTCATCGATAGGAGCTGAAAAATGAAATTTCTTTTTTGGTTGATGGGGTTAGTTGTATCATTTCTGTGAAGGATTATGGAAAAAATTGTGATAGTTTAATAATTATTTTGATTATTTAGGTGGAGAGAGGGATCTGGAGAAAGGACTGGTGACTCCACTACTGATACAGAATTCCCTCATGGAAGCTTCACCAACACCATCACCATCACCATCACCATCACCATCACCATCCTCAATTGCATCAACCTCAGGCCTGATCCTATCGAGTTCTGCCAAGCGTATTGATAGGATGGGTATTAGCCTCACCAGTTCCAGTTTCGGCTTCACAGAAGACTCAGCAGCACCATCACCTTCCTCTACAGCAACAGCCCCAGCTCTTGTCTTATCGAATTCTGGCAAGTGGATTGATAGAATGTCCAGTAGCCTCACCTGTTCCAGTTCTGGTACTGCAGCACTCTCAGCAACACCATCACCATCGTCTACAGCAACAACCCCAGCTCTGGTCCTATCGAATTCTGGCAACCGCATTGATCAGGCTTGCAAAAAGAAATATGTGAAGCAGGTAACAGGACGCCATAATGACACTGAGCTGCATTTGGCAGCACAGCGTGGGGATTTGGCTGCTGTAAAGCAGATTCTTGCTGACATTGATTCACAGATGATGAAGACTGCGAGTGGGGAAGATTTTGATATGGAGGTCTCGGAGATACAGGCAAGTGTGGTGAATGAGATGAATGAGTTGGGGGAGACAGCCTTGTTTACTGCTGCAGAGAAAGGGCATCTTGATGTTGTCAAGGAGTTGTTAAAATACTCAAACAAAGAGACTGTTACTAAGAAGAATAAATCCGGGTTTGATCCCTTGCATATTGCTGCGAGCCAAGGGCACCACGGTGATGATCTTGAGCATTTGGTTATGTGATTTTGCTTTTGGTGGTAATTGGTTTTAATTGGTTGGTTGAGTACTTTAATTGTATGTGGGCAGTTATGATCTGAGTTCTTGCAAAGATGACATATAGTAAAAGTACTGGTTCAAGAGGGTGTCAAAGACTGTTGAATAATGTTGACAATTAAGCTATGTTTGATAGCTTGAAAAATGTAGGAGAAACTTTAGAACCAAAAAGAAATGCATTACTTTCACACTAGACTGCCTTTGGTTAATGTCATCTATAATCTATCTCATAGTAAATTCAGTTCCTTTCAGCAAGTTTTTTGTTAATGAAAAAAAAAGGAAGTTACAATTATTTGGGAACAGAAGTTGTTAAAAACATAGGGCTACATATGTTCTCCTGAACCGTATAGGTTCTTTATATGAAAATTGCCGTTGTATAGTTCTTTAGGAACTATATAATTTAAATATAACTGCAATGCTATTTATTATTAACATGCTCATGAAATGTTTAGAGGCGTAAAATTAGTGCCTTACTATTTAACTTCCTCTAGGAATGATCTACCCTCTTACGCTATGTTATCTTCTTGTAGCATTTGTTTTATACACTTTAAACAACTTATTATGATTATAATTTTGTAGGTTGATTATGATGGAGTTATGAACCTAACTAGGTTTTTGATTTGTTCTTTAGATTGTTCAAGACAACAAATTCAATATTGTTGTACTAATGTTATGAATGGGTTATAGCCATGTGATATATGATTAGTTGAGTAAGCAGAATGATGAGGCTCCATCCTTTTTCAACCTTTAGAACAATCTTCCATCATATTCTTCTCATATAACATGGATTATAAATAGTGAATAAATACATGCCTTCATTATTAGTTTGCTTTTATGCCGGCCAGTTGTGGAATTGATGGTCCTATTTCAGTTGTGTTTTATGGATACTAGGCTGGAACAGTCATCCTTATTCTTTCCTTGCAGCTATTGTCCAAGTGCTGCTAGATCATGACCCTAGTCTATGCCAAACTTTTGGGCCATCAAATGCAACCCCTCTTGTCTCTGCAGCTACCAAGGGGCATACGGCAGTAGTCAATGAGCTGCTATCAAGGGATGGTGGCTTGCTAAGGAGTACCAAATCAAATGGGAAAAATGCATTACATCTAACCGCTCGACAGGGGCATGTAGATGTTGTAAAAGCTTTGCTGAGCAAAGATACACTATTGGCAAGAGGAACTGACAAGAAAGGACAGACCGCATTGCACATGGCTGTTAAAGGACAGAGCTGTGAGGTGGTGAAGCTGCTTCTTGAGGCAGATGCTGCTATTGTGATGCTTCCAGACAAGTTTGGGAACACAGCATTACATATAGCCACTAGGAAAAAGAGAGCAGAGGTACAACTATTCTCTCACTCCCTTTTCATTTCTTGCTATAGAGGTAGAGCATATATCTCAATGATGCTGCATATATATTCTTAATCGTTATACATCTTATGAGAATTTTAATAATTTACCCATCGTTTAAATTGTCATGGCAGATTATACAGTAATGCAAGTTTATGTTCGTTAAGACACTTGCACACTTGTGTGCAGCAGTAGCATCCTTGAAATAGTTTTACTAACATGTATGGCATGTTAGAAAGATGAGGTTGAATGTAGAGAGAGATGAGTTTGTCATGTACATAGGCATTCAACTGAAAATTTCAGTTCTAAACATCAATTTCTTTAGTAATGGTCTATAGAAGGTTTATTTTTATACTAATTAGATCATTCTTGGTGGTAAACTGTGATGATATCTGACTGTATGATCTTGTAAGCTAAGCTTTCTATATTATTTATCTATCTGTATGGATCCTCCTTATGTGCCTATGTATTATACAATGGTTTTATTTTTATTTTTTACATGTATCAGCAATTTCCTATATATTTAGTTACATTCCGTACAAAAACAGTTTCCTATTATTGAATCTTCTTCATTCCTTGCAGATAATAAACGAATTGTTGTCCCTTCCTGATACAAATGTCAATGCACTCAACAGAGACCATAAAACAGCCCTTGACATAGCTGAGGGGCTTCCCCCCTCTGCAGAGTCCTCAGATATAAAGAACTGCCTTTCTCGCTATGGTGCGCTCAGAGCTAACGAACTGAATCAACCAAGAGATGAGTTGAGGCAGACAGTGACGCAAATTAAGAAAGATGTCCATACACAGCTTGAACAAACCAAAAGAACCAACAAGAATGTTCATAATATTTCAAAGGAACTTAGAAAACTCCACAGAGAAGGAATCAACAATGCCACCAATTCAGTGACTGTGGTGGCTGTTCTATTTGCAACTGTTGCTTTTGCAGCAATATTTACTGTGCCCGGAGGAGATCTAGATAGTGGAGTTGCTGTGGTGGTAAGCTCTCGTCCTTTCAAAATCTTCTTCATCTTCAATGCCATTGCTCTCTTCACCTCTTTGGCTGTTGTCGTTGTTCAAATTACGTTGGTTAGAGGTGAAACCAAAGCAGAGAAACGGGTAGTGAAAGTGATTAACAAGTTGATGTGGTTGGCTTCTGTCTGTACTTCGGTTGCTTTTATGGCCTCCTCTTATATAGTGGTTAGCAGGAAACATAAGTGGGCTGCAATTTTGGTCACAGTTGTAGGGGGTCTGATAATGGCTGGGGTTCTTGGCACCATGACTTACTATGTGGTGAAATCCAAGAGCACTAGAAGGAAGAGGGGAAAGAGTTCAAGGACTGGATCCAATTCTTGGCATCATTCTGACTTCTCTAATTCAGAAGTTGAAGTTGATAGGATTTATGCCCTCTAATATGCAAATCTATAGCTTCTGGAAAAGGGAAAGGGAAGATGAATGTTAGAAATTAAAAAATTAGACCCAATATGCCAAAGATTAGATTATATAAGAATAATGAATTTTTGGCCTCTGCCTGGTAGTTGGTATATGCACACCCTACCTTCGTAACCATGGTTTACGAGGTACGAGCTATTTGAACTAATATTTCAGGAGGGCCTATTAGTTAAGAAGGAAGAAAGAAGAGTGATGAATGTGGCATTTTGTTGAGTACATATATTAGACTAACATAGGTAGCAGTTCTTGGGTGGCAAAAGGCTTGAGTTTTGGTTCATAACCTGATGTTCATGTTACCAAATGGCAGTGCTTTGTCTATGCTTCTTATTCTTTTCATGTAAGAAATGGAAAGTGATGATTTACACATGCATACAATATCACCTTCTGAAAGAATAGGGATAGGCAAATTAAACTGATTTAGTGAAGTATGCCATGCCATCAGTAGCAAAGTCGGCTGTTCTCGAATCATCTGTGGCACTTGCTTGAATATGACTCAAGGTATCCCGGAGCTAACATTCATAAAAACTGCTTCAGTTCTCATCTGGGATATTGCTCAGCCAGCATTGTCCTAAATCAGCCTGGTTTGATGGATTCAAACCATTCACTTGTTTTAACTTCTCATCGACAACTATTAAGAGCCTAGCCTTGAAATATATGACTGATTAACTTTCTCTGATTAAACTTTATTGCTACTTTCTCTGATTAAACTGTATTGCTGCAAAAACATACTTGTTTTCCTTTAGTTACAACCTCCTGAAATTGAACAAGGACTTCTAGAACCACCATGTTCAAACATGTTTCTTGCTTCCTAGTAAAAGTCTTGCCTTGGTAACTTATAAAACGCTTGTTTTCTAGAATTCCGAATTCAGTTAAGTTGGTTCATGAAATTAGATTTAAAAGAAGACGTTCATCGAGTTTTGGATTTAAATTTTAGTATTTACAATTTATTTATTTTCAGTTTGCCGTCTTTTTTGTACAAAAATAAAGTCTTGCCTTGGAGTAAAATGTTGGATTCTGGTTCTTTCTATGAAATTATTTTCCAGTCAACAAGTCCTATCAGAATCGTAGTATTAGTGGAATTTGTTTCAGTCTTTGGCACGAGTCTTGACTCTTGTAGGAGTCTTCAAGCAGGCCAAAATTTCCTTCTAAAGTTGAAAAAAATAAATCAACTATAACAATAAAATTTGTGAAGCTTTGTAAACTTGGAGCTAATATGATGGAGTAGACCTGATAATCTGTATATCTTTGTTGTGTTTATTTTATATCAAATACATATAAAATATAAAAATTTTAATATTATAACTTATGTTAATACGTTGCACATAAAATATATTTTTTATTTTTATTAAAATTTTAATTCGGGTCTTTTTTTTTATTGAATCATTATGTTATTTTAAAATTGTTAGGTGTAGGATGGACTATTAAAAAAAAATGGACTTTCCTTTTTAGTTGCAGGTGAAATTTTATATTCCGTTAAGGAAAAGAATCTTGTGGCTAAGCCCCCAATAACATGTTCATTCATTGGATGCAAAATACAACAAAAGCTAACTTGTGTTCATGAGAGGCAAAGATTTCATTGAGTCAATGAATTGTGGCTATTAAGAACAACTTCATCCCACCATTTGTTCACCTTTTTGCCTATTGAAAACTTTACTCAATTTCCCATCATTTCTCATCAAATTTTCCACTTCGCAAATTTAATTGGGCTTTTAACAATGGATACAGAGTATTCTGCCTTAGCCCAAAAATTTTTCAAATGCAAAAAAAAAAAAAAAAAAAAAAAAATCTAACCCAAAGAAGTTCCACCAGTTAAAATTTATGGCCTCAAATATTTTTATATAAAAAAGGAAATTAATTAATTAAATCTTAAAAAAAAAAAGAAAAACACAGAATCGATTTCTTATCCGACGGAGAGGTCTGAACTGAGGTGAACAACAAAACAACCACCGAAAATGTCGGCAGCGCTTCCTCCTACAGCTTCATCTACCAAACTACCAACAACTTCCTTACCATTCTCACGCGCACTCCTCCACGTGCTCCCCAAACCCCAATTTTCCTTCACCCCACGCGCCACTCCTGACTCCGACTCATCCTCAACGAAACCCGAATCAGCGTCGTCGTCGTCGTCCTCCTCCTCCTCCTCTTCCACCTCGCCTGACTCCGACCCATTCGAATCCCGCCTCTCCCGAGTTCGCTTCCGTTACCGAAGTGGAACCGGCAAAAAAGCGCAGCTCCGAAAATCAAGGAAATCCGGATCAGTATCCGGATCCACTTCCTCCTCCTCCTCTATCTACCTCCCTCCAGTGCCTTTAAAAGAAGCGATTTCGAATGGGTTAAAAGTGGATTTCGGGTTTAGCCCATACAGCGAGAGAATAAACGGGCGCATCGCTATTCTGGGGTTGACCGCTTTGGTTTTGGTGGAATTGGCTACTGGTAAGAGCGTGATAAGTTATCATACGCCGGCGATTATTTTAATTCAGATTTATTTTGTTGCGGCGGTTGGGGCTTTGTTTGTCAAATATGAGAAAGAAAAAGTTAGTGTTTGGCCACCTCCTCAATCTTCGTCACCCAAAACTTGAATTCTTTCAAATTTTTGGGTATGATTTCATTTCCATTTCCTCTTTCCTTTCCTGGGTTTTTCAGTCAATATGAAGTTATGGTAATCTGTAATGTATTGATACTTTTATTGTTGAAGAAAGGGAAATTCACTGAATTGTGAAAGCTATTATTTATTTTATTTATTTCTTTACTTTTTTTATGCAAGGGGGGTCGGCACTTTAATCCCACATTAAGATGTTACCAGGATCAGTTATAATATATAAGTTGAGGCTTAAATCCATGCTTGTAGTGTAATTTTTATGCGATAAAATTGTGAAACTTTTGCATCAAAGCGAAAAATATCTTGCAGGTTGATTATGGATCTCTACATTTATTGGATGGAAAAAATAATGCAAGTGCTGTAATTTGAATCTCGGATATGCTGGAAATCATATTCATGCATAAACTACCTGAACTAAGTCCAGGTTTCTTGGTTTATAATACTTTAATGAAACTTGAAGAAAGAGAGAAAGGGTCAATGAAAAATTTATTAATTATTATGTATAATTTTGTATTGAATTTTTATAGTTTTTTTGGAGAATAATGTTTATATCATTGACTAAAAATGAGGAGTTTGTTGTAAACTTTTCTTTTTTCTTTACTTAGGTGTACATTGTGGTTTATTATGAGTGTTTATTGCGTTTGATTTTTGTGATTGATATCTTTGAATTATTGGAGAGCAAACTATATGTTTTTGAAGGAAATTGTATGTACAAAGTAGAATCTTTTTCCCTATCCATAGGACTAGAGATCAACTATGAAGTACATGATCTTTTCTTCTTTGTTCAAAATGGAAACATGATTGATAATACTCCAATGGAGATCATTTGTGGTTTCATAGGATGGAACATGGACAACAAGATGTCGATTTCGAATGAGTTCTTGTTACACCGGGATTTTTAGGTGACCATTCAACTCTTGTTGTAGCGACTTTTCCAGTTGAAGCTTCATCTTTCTGCTTAGTAACAGTTTTCTGATGTACACTCTCATGCGCTTCTGATTTGAGAGGAGCTGCATGCCCTTGTGCAGAAGGATCCTTAATTGAAGATGATTGTGATTTGTGTGGATCATAGCAATTTGTGGAGTCCTGTTGTGTGTTGCTTGTGTTTGAAGGTTTTGTCATAGGATTCGCTTGCTTGGGAGGCTCACCTTGTAAGCAATCCAATGGCTGTTGCTGGAGATGCTTGGAATTTTGAGGACTTGCAGTATTATCATCTTCTGAAACATGTCTTTCTGAAGGAGCTGTAACAGGAGCTGGCTCTTGGTGTGATCGATGGGAACTTTGATTACTCTCTCCAGGATGATTGTTTTTTGGAGGGGGAGCCGAAATTGGAGATTGCTGCTGTTTGGAAGGATTGGAACTTTGGTTACATGGCTGAGGTTGTTCTTGCAGAGAAGTTGCCCCAGTCAACAACTGCTGCTGTGGCGGATGGTAGGTATTTTGAGTGTTTGTAAGGTGATCACCCTTTGAAGAATGTTCCTGTGAAGTAGAAACCCTAGTTGAAGACTGTTGTTGCTGGAAACCAGGATAGGACCTCTGATGATTCAGAAGAGAATCATCCTTTGGAGGACATCCTTGTGGAGATTTAACCAAAGCCTGTTGTTGGGAATGGCTGGAAATTCGACTACTCTCCTTAGTATCACTGTCTTTTAAAGGCAAAGGAGCCCCTTTAATTATCTGTGGTACCTGCTGCTGCTGCTGCTGCTGGATCTGGTTCTCACCGCTCATCTGCATCAATGGTGAATCCTCCTCACTGAAATCTTCATCTTGGTTGTTGTTGCTACTTGAGTGCACCTGTCGATGAGTGTCCTTTGGAGCAGAACCTTGATGAAAATTACTCATCTTTTACATCTTCAGGAGGTATTTTCTGTTCCTTTCTGCAATTCTTGGGTTGGTTTTCCTGCATTTTGGTTGAACCTGAAGGTTTTGACAGCATTAGCTTACTGTTGACGCAAGTTTATAAAAAAGGCCAATAAAAATATTATAGTGTCATAGCTTGAAGGAAGGGAGCAAGAATAAACCTAACAAAGGAGTGAGACCGAAGAATATAAGATTCATGTTTTAGTTTAGTATTGCAGTTGCGATTAAAGAGAGTTTTTATTATTGCGGATAAAAAAAGTTTGGATAAAAAGAAATGCATTTAAAATTGTTATGAAAAATAAAATGATTTAAGAATTTTAAGCATTATGGTTAATTGTAAAAGCATATTTATAAATAGTTTTTTTGGTTTGGATGTGGAAACTCGTATCTAATTTGTGAAACATTATTTGTTTTGATTTGAAGATCTTATGATTTTATTCTATAAAAGGTGTCTTGTAAGTTTGAATTTAACTATCTATTGATATATTAAAACAAATTTTCAGAATCTCTCGACATAAAATTGGAGTATCACATTGGATTGGCAGATTGAGTTCGAGTTTTTTAAATAAAAAAATTTATTTATTTTTATTATTTAACGTTAAGATTAAAGCAATAGCAACTTTTGAATGCAAAAATCCCTTACTTTCAACCTCAATGTTAAACTAACCTTATTCTCTTAGATCGCTTCTTTGTTTGAGCTCCAATCATTCCCAATGAAAGCTCTTCTTTCAACCTTTAATTTCTTATCTTTGATCTGTGCTGGAAAGTAATAGTGGGACACAGAAGTTGCCGCCAACATTACCCAACAAAGTCCCATAACCTGATATTATATAATATTATATAAGATAACGTTTATTATTGTAAAATCAAGAGTGAGATCCAAGTTTTAAGAAAGAGAGCTGGTAAATGCAGTTTCATTTTTTTTTTCTTTTGCATCGCAATTTTTTTTAAAAATTTTTCATAAGTAAAATTGTTTAATTATTTTTATCATAATTTTTTAGAGTTTTATAATTTTTTAAAAATGAATTTTTAAAAAATTATATAAATTTACTGGATTTTTAAAAAGTTATAAATTTTTTCGAAAATAAATTTTCAGAAAAATCATATGTTTTTCCTAAAATTCATTTCTGAAAGGTGAAATAATGAAAAGTTTACTTAAAATGTTTATTAAATTTTCACTATCTCATTTTTCGAAAATATATTTTCAAAAAGATTTATAATATTTTGATAAATATTTTTGAAAAATTATATTTTTTTAAAAATTTATTTTCGAAAAGATTTATGACTTTTGAGAAATTCATTTTTGGAAACTTGTATAAAGAAGAGAGAATAATTAAATAATTTTACTTAAAAAAATAAAAAAAATGTTGAAATGCGTAAAGAAAAGGGTGAAGTGCATTTAACATCTTTCTTTATAAATTCGCAACTGATATCTTCTTTCAAAAAGGAATTTGTTTTAATTTCTTGAGGTGTTTATTGTAGTTCATGAATGAGGTTTTTGTTTATCAAATCGTATAAAGGAAGGAAATACAGTTGACGGGAATTGAATTTAAAATCTGTTGGATTTAATTTTAAAAATAATTGTATAAATAAATTGATTGAAGTTTCGGTTTAATTTCTTTAATATTTATTGAACATGAAGGATTTGACATTGGCCCTTAAGCATAAGGAAATATTTTAGAGTCATTGCTTCAAGTAAAGGATCAAGAACAAACCCACCAGATTGTCCTGAATCAAAGAATAAAATCAAGCAATTAACTTCATCAATAAGCTTATATTGGACACTTCCTCAAACAACAGCTGTGGCATTTCAACAAATTAATATTCCGTTTCCAAGATTGATTTTAAAAAAGATAATGTTCTGGAACTACCAGGTTCTGCCATTCGGGTTCAAATCGAGCTTCGAACCACTAATTTTTAAGTCAAGCAAAACTCGAGTTTGATAGTGTTTCAATTCGATTAGATTATATTTCTAAATTAATCGGTAAAATTGAGTGTAAAATACTAAAATTTCCCATCAAAATTTCTTCCACAGATTACTTCTGTTTGAGCTCTAATCATTTGCAATAAAATTTTTTTTTTTTTTTCAAGCTTTAATATTTAGGCTTTTGAAGTGGAGAGCAGTAGTTGGACACAGTGAAGATGCCAAATGGAAGCAAAGACAACATACATTAATGTAAGTAAAATGCTAACTGGCTTGGTTGGTGGCTTTCAAGTTTTCCCTGGTTCTCTTAAAAGCTTAGATCAGGATTTTCTTTCAACATTTAGCTTCCATGAACATCATTAAAGATGGAAATCCAACGCCACAAATATGAAATATTTCATTCCATGAACAAAGCTATATTAACATGGAGAGGTAGGCTGCTGAGGGGAAACATGAAAAATAAACTATTTCAACGTTGAAAATGCATGCTTTTTTACCAAGTAATTTCAGTACTTTTTGAGAAGTGATCAATTGGGGTTTCATAAAATGCTACAACAGGAACAACCACCACCAGAAGAAGGCTCAGAAGGCTGCGGTGGCTGCGGTCGTTTATGCAAGACAATCGGGGTTGCAGCTGGTGTCTCTTTGTTTTCACTTGAATCCTGTGTTTGAGCATGGCGCTCTGGATGTGCTGTATCAGCTTCTTCTCTCGATGAAATTTGAACCTCAGATTTGTTGGATGATCCCTCGATCAACTTCATTGGTTGACGAGGGTTATTGCCACTTGAAAATTGCTGATGCTTTTGGTCTTGGGAACTCAACTGCTTCTGTTTAGAATCTCCATCTTTGTAGCCATCACCTTCATCTCTGGAGGGTTGATCTTGATCAACATCCTTTGCAATATTAGACCCTTTTGAAGAATGACTCATCCTTTACCCCTCCTGGAAGTCTCCTACTTAGTTCTTTCTCTACTTGTTGATTCGATTTTTGTCTTTCAATTTCTAGAAGGAAAGAATTTTAAAGAAGGTTTTGAACTGGTTTGATTTATGGAGGATAAGGTAAGGTTGGAGGAAGTAGACATATATTGCTTACCATAAACGCAGTTTAGAAAAGAAAAAAAAAAGACATATAGAAACAATATTCCACTCCTGAATTCTGCAGTCTCCCAAGCTCAGCAATTAGAATATCACAGGTTAATTTATACCTAAATAAAAGTATTTCGAATATAAAATTTGATTTAATCGATTCGTATAATCAATTTTAAAAATGAGCACTTAACAAATTTAATATTTAAAATTTAATATTTGCAAATATTTCGTTTTTTACGCTACAAACAGTTCAACTTTTTATTTCTTATAATAAAATATTGGTGGCCATATTAAAGATGGGGAATCTTGATTGATAGCAGAACCTGGCAATTGATGAGTTTGTTCAAATCTTATCAATTACAAGAAAGCTTTTTCCCTCCCCAGGCAAGAATTTTCTTGTCAGGTACTCTGGGAAGCTGAAACGAAGACAGGTAATCAAATATCAAGCTAGTTATATATATATATATATATATTTGAATTTATCAAAATGGAACATTAATTATTAAAATTAAACGTTCAATATTATACTGTGATCACAGTATTCTACTAAGATCACAGGTTTTTGGCAGGGTCTCTTTTCCTGATAAATGGAAAGAAGAAACAATTGGCTAGAAACAAAAATTTCAAAGTATACTAATTAAAGTAGAGTTATTGAAGAGAGAGGTAGGGGGAAGTGAGACATTTTTTTTGTCCATAAAAGTTTAGAACTATAAGAAATTACTCATTTTCAAAATGAAGGTAAGCCGCTAACTCATCCTTTAAGACTTTTCGGACGTATAAATCATCTATTAATAAAAGGTTTTGAGAATTCAAACCATGATACTTTACATCCAGATTTTAAATTTTAACCAATTGTGTCAACCCCATGTCTCACCTCATCATATAAAAAAGAGGTGAGATGTATTTTTATATGATGATTGATGCATAAAAGACATTTACAAAATGATTTTGTTTAATTTCTTCTCCAATTTTAAAGTAACTAAACAAATTGATGATGGTTAAAGAAATACGGTGACTGGTGGTATTGAAAAGTAGAACTTGGAGCTTGGTCCACTGGATTTTGACCCCAGGCTTGTTAGGGTGGTTCCTTGCATCCCTTGGTGAGTAAATCTTCTCATAAACCAGGAAACCCTTGCCAATAATTAGTACGGAATGATGCTTGCTATGGTCTGGTGCCCCTTTCTTGGCCAAAAGTGTAAAATCAATGGCCTTGTAGTAATAGAAACATATCTTACTCCTTAAAGCAAACCATACTTCAATTCCAAAATGTTTCCATTCATTTATATATAGAAATACATAAGAATTATAATTCTATATTCTATATTTTTTTGGTGCATAAATACTGGAAATCGCTTACATTATTTAAGCATTAAGCCTTGTAAGATTCAATATGTCTTCTTGTAATGTTAAAAGTTCGACATTCTTCTAATAGATTACAAAATTTTGAATGAAAATTTTCTTTTTGAGTGATCAAATCAATAGAATCTACTTAAAAATTTGATCAATTCGATTATCCAGTTAATTTAGTTTGTGTGAGAGACCAAAAAATTCGAAAATTTGGATCATTAGTTTTAATCAAGGTTTTTGAAATACCCAATGAATAAAAAAAAAATACATATAATTAAGAGAATAATATACAAGAGCTAGCAGAACATATGTATCTACAAAGCAAAGAATTTGTTGCAATGAATCTGCCATAAACATAATTAAAGGATGCTCCAAAGAGTGATCAGCCTCAACTTTAAGGTACCATTATCAGAAACAACAGCAAAATATTTTCTCTAACAAACCTTTCTTCCGACGAGGTTCCAGCTTAGACGGTGAAGTCGGAGGTCGAGGTGGTGGGTACCCTTCTGGAACTGGAAGAGAATCCCGTGACGATGCAGCGCCTTCAGGTGGCTGTAGCTGACGATGTGGTTTTTGCTGATAGCCATTGGTCTGATCTGCTGACATAGGCTGTTGTGTTGGTGGGTACCCTTCTGGAACTGGAAGAGGCTCCCGTGACGATGCAGCACCTTCAGGTGGCTGTGGCTGTCGATATGGTTTTTGCTGATAGCCATTGTTGTGATCTGCTGACATAGGCTGTTGTGTTGGTTCATTGTTGGTCTGTAAAAGATGCTTTTCTCCATGGTCTGGTAAATCAGATGCTGTGGGAGTAGGGTTCTGTGGAGGATCCATGTGGTTTTCAACTGAGCCTTTTGAGGGAATCAGCTTTTGCTGGGTTTTGCTTGAACTTTCACTTGGTGAAGGATCCTGGATTGACGTCACCTGTTTATGGAATTGGTTGCGACTATGATGATTATCTTTGGGATGATATCCTTGTGAAAGGACTCCCGGAGCTGGCTGCTGTTGGTGAGGTTGATAGTGGGAACTTTGAGAACCTGGAAGACTAGAATGTTGATTGTGAGGATATCCTGATGAAGAAGAAACCCCCAGTTGAATGCTTTGAGGATTATTGTTTTGTGGAAGAATATGCCCTTGTGGAAGAACCCTCACTGGAGATGCTTGCTGTTGCCGCTGTTGCTTCTGCTGCTGCTTCTGGTGGTGGCTCTTGCCCCTTGGAGGACCCTCACCATCGTAGCCACCAACTGGTTTCCCTGACTGTGGATAACCATCCTGTGAAGGAGACCCTTGAGGAGGAGAATAGCTCATTTCTTTCCCCTGGAAGTTTCCTGTTTCTCACTTCTATTGTTGATCTGGTTTAATCAACAAGGCTTTGGTATAGTTTCAGGAGTGCAGCTCAATGAGATTTGTATAGCTTAGCTTACTAAAAAAGTAGTTTCATATTTTAGTGCAAATTCTTTATAAAGTTCCCCAAATCCTCTGTCTTTTGTTATCCAATTGCCATTGCTTCAAGTAAAGAAGCAAGAATAAACGCAATTATCACCTTGGAGACTTTATTTGATAAAAAAGATGTTAATTTAATGATTAAATAATAATATTTTAAAATAATTATAAATTTTAATAATTAAATTAATAAAATTTTCAAGATTTACTTGGCTTCTGGTTTATCAAGATTCCCACTCAATTGCTTACATCAATTGTTTTTACATCAGCTAGCTTAACCGCACCAGAATCTATCCTCCATTGTTATACTCAAAATACTAATTTCATAGCCTTTTTTTCTCCCACTTTCGGTTAGCACCAAACCTACTAAAAATGAAACATTTGGCAATTGGCATTGACAAGCAAGCAACATTGTTTATTCCAAAAGCACCATAACATACTCCAAAAGTTTATTATTGAGACCTGTTATTATGTTATGTTTCATATCATACATGGTTTTAGACATGATACGAATAATTTTGACATGAATAGGACATAAATAGTTAACTAACGTGAATAACCTAAACATAAAATTGATATGTTTATTATACGTGTTATACGTGATACGATATGACTAATACGATTAAAATTAATTATTTAACACAATTCAAGTAATACGACACGACACGATTAACATAATTCAATACAATTAATCTATTTATTTAAACAAAAAAATCATTTAAATTAGTATTTAAATAAAAAATTATTTAAAAATAAAAATTTTATAATTTATTTAAACATAATAAATATGATTATTAATTTATTTAAGAAATAAATTAAAATTATTTGTATAGTTTGTATATTATATATGCTTGCATGAACAATATTGTATCTTAAACGTGTCTTAAGCGTGTCATCACTGTTTGATACGAACATAACATGAATAATATTGTATCTTAATCGTGTTGACATGATTAAGATATGAAACATAATTACACTAAACCTATACATAATTTTTTTGGTATCATTTTCGTGTCGTGTCATCGTGTCATGTTCAAAATTAGCAGATCTAAAAATTAACAAAAAAGCATCATCACTATATAAATCATTAATTAATTTTTTTATTTGAGATTATTTAAATTTAAGGATTAATAACATGCGTGGTTCCTAAATTATATGCCAAATTCTATATTGGTCCCTTAACTTTAAAAAGTTATAATTAAGTCCTCAATTACCCAAATGTGTGTCAATGTGGTCCCTCCGTCAACTGAACCATTTAAATTAATAGTAAATCCTATGTGGCATGACACATAATCTAAAGAACTTGTATGACATGGAATTTTTTGAATGCCAACTCAGGAAATAAAAAAAAAAGAAATTTTAATGTTTTACTTAAAAGAATTAAACATTTAAAGAAAAGAAACTAGTTAGATATTGTAAAAGTTTCAAGTGCTGAAGAAAAAAGGGGAGCTAAGGTTTGAAAAGGAGGAGCTATGAGTGTTGAAGAGGAAAACAAAAGGAGTTTGAAAAGAAAAAGCTCGAGGTTTAAAGTAAGGAACCCATTAAAAGTTGAAAGAGAAAGCCAATGGTTGAAAGAGAGAAGCTATAGGTTACCATATGAAAGATATAGGCTTGTTACCTATTTTCATTATGGTCAACAAGCTCGAATTAGGACATCATAGACTGACATTAACCCAAGCCATCGATTTTTCAATTATAACAACTATGGGGTAAGCACACAATATTTTATTTTTTTGAAATGGGTAATTTTATAGATATTTAAGAATACCAAAAATTGGGTGTATTGTTTTGATATAGGTAGCAAGTAGCAACAATAGGTAGCAAATCATGGTTTTATGATTTTTATTTATTTAATTTAGTGTGCTTTCATTCTTTTAATTTGGTGATGGTTTTTGTTTAAATTTGTAGCAACTTAGTGCATGTGGGTTTTTCAATAATGTGATTCTCCAATAGATGAACACAGTAAGGCAGTCATTCTAGGTTTATTAAGGAGGCTGCAAAGAATGAAAAATCAAAATTAAGTCCTTTCACATAATGCAAACAACAACAATTGCAAGCATAAAAATTGGAAGTGGATTGTAATGTGTTTGCTTGTAGTTATTTTTATGATGTTGTTGGAAAGAAATTGAACAAAATTTAGTATACTATTTAGGGTAATTAGCTTGTAATATTATGCTGTCGATTGGAAGCTGTTTATGTTTATAAACTTACATATTTTGAGTATGAATATGTTTCATGGGTATTAATGCAAATTTGTTCATAAAATGGTATATTTGTAAACTATGTAATATGATTATATTTTTTGTAATATCATATTTTGTGTAATATAATTATGTTCACATCAAAATCAATAGAATAATCCTAAGAATAGAACGGAAAGCAGTTGACTACTCTTTGGTAGCAATAAGTTTATAAAACACTTCCATAAGTAATGATTATGGAACATACATAAGTAATAATAACTCTATTTTATAGAAATGACTACAAGTTTATATAACACTTCCATACATAAGTAATAATTTCGTATTTTCATTTCAAATGGGAACAAAATATAAGTTTGTACACTTTAATGCTAGCCATGTTTTGTACACTTCAAAATACTAAATGTTATAATAAAAAATACAGTTTCGAACAAACCTTAATCGACTACAGTTCTGCACTTTGTAAAGTTTTATACATTTCAATGCTAATAAGTTCAAACCCTAAACTGACTACAATAAAATATCCTAGCAAATCAAACACAATTTGTCGACACAATCAAAGACAATGTTCTAATAAAAAATTACAATGTTTTAACAAAAAATATAGTGTATGACAAAACATACTTATCTTTCACACTATAAATTTCATTCATCGTGCAAACTTCTGGACCTTTTGGTACTTAGCCATAGGCTTTTGGGCAACATACTTGAACAATCTTTTCATAAAAGCTGAATTTTGTGAAAGAGATGTTGAACTCTAAATTACACACAAAGATAAAAATTACTAAAAAACATAATCTGACAGTAACCCTAAAGCAAACCAAAAATCAAAATTTCAGGTAATTTACTTCATTAGAAGCGGGAGTCGGAGTTAGAGTTGGAGTTGAAGAAAGAGTAAGATTCAACATTACATTTTGTGTATCACTTTGTGAATGTTGTGCACCAATGATGGATTGTTATGGTACATAGTTTGACTTGAACCCTCAAATATAATAAACCGAAATGGTTAAACAAAATTAATATATAGGTAAGCCATTATTAACTAATATAAATATACATAATCTAAGTATTACATTATGCAATGGAACTAGTTGTTGCTGCTGTTGATGATTGGTTGTTATTGGTATTCTTTGTTGCTAGAATTGGAACTAACTAACCTGACTGTTGTTTTTGTTATTGTGGGTTATTGCTGTTGGTGAGTTGCTACTATTAGAGGTTGCTCTTATTGAAAGTTTGTTGCTGGTAGTGGGTTTTTGCTATTTGTGGATTGCTGTTGGTAGGTTATTGTTGTTGGAAGTTTGATATTGGTGGTAGGTTGCTGCTATTAGATATTTGTTACTATTGGTGGTATGCTGCCATTAGATTAGGGAATTTGCTATTGTTGGATAGGAAAAAAATTAAAATAAATAGTATTAATTCAACCAAATTACATAAAATTTTGAAATTATAAATATTAACTACAGTGATTGTACCTAAGGAATGTTCTTGCAAGACCTTTTATTATGACATTTTTGTCCACATTTAAAATATGACATTGTGACATATGTTTTCCTAACCTTAGCATCCGTGGTACTTACTTCATTAAGTTCTTTTTTTATCTTAGTTCTTAAATCTGTCAGGTTGTTTTATTGCACCTCTAGAGGTTTTGGCTTGTAGTCATAAGGAGGCAAACAATTTTCATCCCTGATTAGTTAATGGCTTCTTTATAAATTTTCCTTTGTCTATCAACAAAGTAATATTCATGCACATAGTCTTTAACCTATTCCTTGTTGAACAAAATTGCAAAAATTGTATGTGGACAAAGAATACTAGATAACTCCCATTTCTTACAACTACATGACTATTTATCTAGGTCAACTATGTATTGGTCTGTTAAGTTTTTTTATTTCAAATATTCTCTGTGTAGATGGTTATAATTAGTACTTCCAAAATAATTCTTTGTTCTTGTCAACTTTCTTCTGAATCCTTGGACAAATCAACCCAGAATACTTTTTCACAGCATTCCTCTTCATATAGAATCTATTCATCAATTTGCACTTGATTATTTTGCACATAGTTCAAATTGACTTGTCTCTAGCATCCAAAATGTACTTGTTAAGACATTTACACAAGTTGTTAAATAGAATATCACATTTAGGGACTATGCTAAAATAAAACCTCGAGCATTCATGTGCTGGCCTTTCTGTAAGCCAACCATGTGCT